CCACAGAGAGCACGCAGCCCATACGAACACAGGAAGCAGGCTCAGGAAGGTTTCAGGTCTGGTGTCAGGCCATGGAGGGACAAAGCAGCAGAGCTGTGAACCGGAGGCACGTCCTTTGGCATTCTAAACCTTTGATTAAAGATGTAATTTTTATTGAAAATTCAAAATACTCCTGAAAACTTGACCACAATGAATGGAGGGCTAGTTAGTCATAGTAAATATTACCTGGTAAGAAGTTTGATATAGTAATTTATCACTAGCTAAATTTATGGTGGAATCAGTTTTGAAGTAGATATCGAATGCCTGATTTCTGATCTAGAATCCACCATGTACTGGTTCTATCCAACCAGATAAGTCATGGAGCCTTTCTGAGTCTCTGTTTTAACATTTAGTATGGGGACAACAATAAGACTACTATAATGTCTTGCTGTGTTTTTTTTTTAAAGTATATTTTTATTGATTTCAGAGAGGAAGAGAGAGGGAGAGATAGAAACATCAAGGATAAGAATTATTGATTGGCTGCCTCCTGCACGCCCCCTACTAGGGATCGAACCCACGACCGGGTATGTACCCTTGACCGGAATCAAACTCAGGACCCTTTAGTCCAAAGACCAACACTCTATCCACTGAGCCAAACCAGCTAGCTCTGTCTTGCTGCTTTGTAAAGATAAGTTTTTAATGAGAATATACATATGCCGAAACAGTTTATAAGGGTTTAAACTTTAGCCACTATTATTGTGTTACTGACTCACCACTGTTGGGCTATGTAGTTACAAGGATTGTTCTGGCGAACATTTATGAGACAGCTGGTGTGAACTAGGGGTGCCACGTGGACCAAGAAATAGAACAAAGCTAATTGGCTACACAGGGATGCAACCCATGTCCTTAGCCCCATTAACTCGGTGCTCTACCAACTCAGCACATTATTCACTCACGCAACCTACCTTTCATGAGTCTGGCCTTCAGCTAGGCACTGGCGATACAAAGCGGAATGAACCATCCTCTTTGTCCTCAAAGAGATCACAGTCTAGCAGGGAAGGCAGGCAGATGAGTAAATGTACTTTATAATAAACTAATGCTACAATAGAGGTTTATAAAAGTGGTAAGAGGACACGGAGAACTATCAATATTGAATAGGGAAGGGTAGAACTCTCCTCTTGTTACTGAATTTGTTGAACCGAATTTTTTTTTTTTTACATTTTAAAACATTTAGGTGCACTTAAATCTACATATTAAATAATAGTTCATCAAATTCATCATTTGAAATTTTCAAAGATATATTTCTTTTCTTCTTTGGATTTTATTTATTTATGTATTTATTTATTTATTTTTAATATTCACCTGAGGATATGTTTTTATTGATTTTAGAGAGAATGGCCGGGAAAGGGAGGGAGACATACATCAGTTGCCTCCCATAGGCACCCCTACCAGGGGTTGAACCCTCAACCTGGGTATGTGACCTGACTGGGAATTGAACCCGTAAGCTTTTGGTGTGCATGCGCTCCACTCCCCCGCCCCCCGGCCCCCAACCAAATAAGCCACACAGGCCAGAACTCTTCTTTGGATTTTTATTGATTGATTGATTGATTGATTACTTAAACAATGGACATTTATTACCTCACAGTTTCTGTGGGTTATAAATTTGGGAACAGTTCAGGGAGGTTCATACAGTGGTCAGTAGGGGCTGCAATCAACTCAAAGCTTGAATGTGGATAGAAGTTCCACTTCCAAAATCGCTCATGCACATGACTGTTGGCATAGAGTCTCAGTTCCTATCTGGCTGTTGGCAGGAAACTTTAGTTCGTTGCCCTGCGGGCTTCCTCTTAGACTGCTTGAATGTTCTCAGGTCATGGCAGCTACCTTTCCCCAGAGTAAGCAAACCAAGGGAGAGTGGGCGAAGAGAAAGCTGCAGTGCCCTGTACAATCTTGTTTCCAAAGTTAACACTGGCTTTAAGTAACCCTATTTGAATGGAAAGCTTTAATTTAAGAACAGAAATCAGTGCGTTCTTTACTATCATGAAATCAACATTTTGTGAATCTTTCCAAATTGCATTAGATGCTTTATTCCCAACTATTTGTTCTCTTATACATTATTCAATTACACAGAGCTAGACACACCAACTTCCTATTTTGGATGTAATCCTGTTGTTGTCCTCAATTATCTTGAAAATAAATCCATTTCACCAATTCATTTGAATTAATGCAGAGAGCCAATGCGGGTCACAATTTTTGAAAAATAGTGAGGCCTAATGATTGGTTACCTATTCCCTGAAATAAAGAATGAGGTCTTCTAGAATGCAGAAAATACAATTCAGTGTACACGAGGTTGATTTATGCTTTTTCAAGAATTCCTCTATTGCTTAAAGCCAAGTGCACAGGCAGTAATAGAATTATTTAAGAATGATCCTTTTACTTGATCCATTTGCTTTAGTCAAGCTTTCCTACCAATAAAAAATGACCAATGACCCAGACACTTTGGTTTTCTCCCACCTGAACCATAAATGAAACAAATGATCGGCCCCAATGTATGTCTTGGGGTATGGGAGGTGAATGGTACCCTAGAGGTTTTATTCCTCCTAAAATCACCGCTGAAAGATGCAGAGGAGAAATGATCATATTTCTTAATCAATCATTCTGTAAGTTTGGGGCATGCACCTGTGTGCTGTGAGCATATCCGTGTATTAATTTCATATCCTGTGTTGTTAATGTTATTAATCCAATTATTTGAAAAGCTCTTTGCAGAAACACAATGTGATTTATTGATAAGAATGTGTAGTACTCTGAATGCTATATCATATCATATCAGGTGCTCAGCAGGTGAAAACTACCCATCTAGAGACAAGAAAGTTCTGTGAGGGATTTTGGTGTCCCTGCACGTCAATCACGTCATAAAGCTGTGTCACTCTCTCCAGCAGTGACATAACTTATTAGCAGCCGGTGTCCCTCAGATCCATGAGTCCTGCCCCTTTCAGAGGTGTAAACTATTTCCATTTTGAAATATACAACCAGAATACAGATAACTAGAACTGAGCGGTGAATCTACCAGTACACACTGCTGTGGAGCATTCATGAGACATTTCTTCTTAAAAAGCAAGGACTGGTGGCCACCATCCCTGTTGTTACTTTTCCTGTGAGAGTATTTGATTTAGAGCAATATTTTCACACCTCTTTTCATTACATCATTTACGCATCCTGGAGGCTGCTCAAGGTTAAGATTATCTTACTTGTATTTCCTCCTATAGGTTTAAACATTTAAACCAGTGGTTCTCAACCTTCTGGCCCTTTAAATACAGTTCCTCATGTTGTGACCCAACCATAAAATTATTTTCGTTGCTACTTCATCACTGTAATGTTGCTACTGTTATGAATCGTCATGTAAATATCTGATATGCAGGATGGTCTTAGGCGACCCCTGTGAAAGGGTCGATCGACCGCCAAAGGGGTCGCGACCCACAGGTTGAGAACCGCTGATTTAAGCCAATGACATTATAGCTCAATTTCCTGAGAACTTGTATGCATTACACTATTCGGGGTGCTGGGGGTTCTTAGCTGAGCATATCTTTTTTTCTGGGTATTGCTCACAAAAACAAAACAAAACAAAAAAAACCCCAAAAACTCTGAATGGGTGTTTTTTCCTCTGTGTGTTGAAGAGAATTCAAAACAGTGTGTCAGCTAGCCAGGTTTTGCCAGATCATCATCCACTCTGAGGTCTAACCAGTCTTCCTTTGCAACTGCTGCGTGCTTGCAGCCCCGGGCGGCAGGCTTTGTCCTACCTGCCACTCTGGTGGCTGCTGAATGTGGTGATCACTCTGCTGTGTGTTTGCCTGCTGATGAAGCTCATTAGACCTTGAGCAGCTGCTCAAGTCCATTAACAGTCACTTAAGCAGCAGGTTGAGGAAGCTGTGCTGTTAGGAGCTAAAGGTGGGGCTGAGAGCCGGGAACAAGAAGCCTCAGTACCAGCACCTGCCACACAGATAGTCGGTGGAATGTGTTTTGCCAAAAATGTTCTATCGGGCTCAACGGTCCATTTTGCTGGCAGCTGTTATATATTAAGTATTTGGGTAAAGTAGAGTCAATTCTAAATTCTTGTTCATCCTTTAATGTACAGGAAAATGCCATACAAATCTATGTGTATGCTTCTTGTCCTGTTTGGTCTCAGCTGATAGTCGACTGCTCCTCAGTCCTAAAAGGACCCTCCTATGAAAAGCAAAGACAAGTGAATTGAAGTAAGCCAACAGACCAGATGCATCTAACAACCTACACATCATCTCAGGACTTGAGCTTCACAAAGGCTCTATTTTAAGATCCAGTACTTGTTTTGCTTGTTTCCACAGGAGGGTAAGAGGATTTAAAAAAAAAAAAAGCTTTATTGATGGGAAGTGGGAGCTGCTACTCCCCTCACCTCAGCAAAACTAAAAAAGAAAGCAAGCCCATTCAATTCCTAGCCAGCTCTTTAACGTGCTAACATCAAATGGGTAGTAGACATTATTTCCAAGTGAGAAGCTAAAGCTTTGCATCACTATAAGTTTTCCACTATTTCTTCCCACTTTGATTTTGTGTGTGTGTGTGTGTGTGTGTGTGTGTGTCTTTATGTCGGATATCTGAGGAATCACCTTCAAATGGCTTTCCGCACATTAAAAAGAAAAAAAGAAAGCCACCTGGGATGAAATACCAGCATCTCCTCTGTGGAAACACGGGTCCTGTTAGCCGCCTCTCCGTGGCTAATTGGGAATTAGGCCGTGTGCGGTGTGCTTTTCATGATCTGAAGCACAGCCAGCTACACCTAGACAAGTCATTATTAAATTACCACGTTATCAAAGAGGCTGCAAAGGCGGCCCGCAGAATGGGCCGTAGGATTGTCTCCTCGGGGTCATCGCTCAGCGATAAAGGGAAAATTAGGCTGAGAAAGCTCCAGCCTCCGGGCGTTTTCCCCGGTGATGAGGTTACGCCCTGAACAGTTAGTTGTCAGTGCGGTGGCGCCGGCCACACCTGGCAGCGGCCGCAGGGCATCTCCCGGGAGCCGGGCCGTGTCCCCGCCCGGAGCGCCGCTCTGTGCCGCTCTGGGCGGCAGGGGGAGCCCGGGAGCTCTGGGCAGAGGCGGCGATCGCAGCGTCGGTGCTGCATTCCCCCAAGCATTGGCCGCGGCCCGCGCGCTGGGAACTTCCCGCACGCACTCAGCCGCCTGCTCCGCACCCTCAATTGTTGCTGAGCCTTGGCGCTCGTCGACAAAGCAGCTGATTTTTGCTTTCTTGGAGATAGGGATGAGCAATGAGCTGCCGGCGGAATTTGGCAATGAGGAGAGGGAAAGGCAGTTTCGTGCCAGCAGCTAAGTTGTAAAATTGCTTTGGAGGCTGCCCGGGGAGCACGATAGCGCTGAAAAGAACAGACACCGTTGCAGACCAAAGGCATGCCCGGCTGCACTTGAGTCCGATCGCTGGGTCGCAGCCTCTGCTCCTGCTCCAACTCCTTGGGGCCGAATAAAGGCAAGGAGACTAGAAACACGAATCGCAAGTGGTATTCCTGAAAGGAAAACACATTTACTCCAAAAGGAGGGGAGGAACAGCCTAGCTGGTGTGTACACTTTTTTTTAAAGGCGAATCCCTCAGGTATGTTCTCTTTCCCCGGTATGCGCTGCCTTATCTGCATGTGATTTTGTGTGTGTGTGTGTGTTTGCCTTTTCTTGCTGATTTTTGCTTCTTCTTTTTGGTAGCACTTTGAATCACACCATAGACCCCGGGGTTCTACTAATGTAGCTGATGCATTTGTAAAATGCTTAATTGCCCTGTGTTTATAATAAGGAGGGTTCTATTAAGGATCAGGGACTTCTCAGTCATTGCTTTATTTTGAATGCAGAGTAATGCATGATTTCTTAGTTTCCGCTCAACTTTCAGGGGAATAATCTGTTTCGGGAAAAACAGGGATGGGATAAAAGGCTGGGATATTTCCCAATCTCTTGGGATTTGGGGGGGAAATTAGAGCCAAACAGAAAAAGAAAAGTTCAGGGCTTTTCAGAAGGGGTTAAAAGCTAAGATGCCATAGACTAGCTGTGTATCACCCAAGTGTTTTTCCAGCTCAGCATTGAGTCTGGAGCAAATTGAGCTTTCCCAGAGGTTCTGCATTTTGACCCCTTGATCAGTCCTTTAAGATGAAGGTCCTGCAGATTTGCTTTCAAGAGATGAATTGCCTAAATTGGGAACTTGGCTCTGTTTTACAGTTGTTCTGTGGTGCCGAAGGAGGCAGTCTAAAAAAAATCCCTGTGCTCCAACAGCTTGAATGAACCCTAACTTCTGCAATTACATCATCGATATACTTGTATAATAAAGAGAAAGATATGGCCACAATAGTGATGTTGGCTGCCTTTAGGACCTAGGCTGAGATGACAAAGCTTAAAGTCAATTTTCCTTCTGAGGCTTTTAAAGAGAAAAAGGAAAGAGGTGGGTGGATAACACATAGAAATGCATTTTTAGAAATACTCTGCATTTCTTTAAAAAGCCAAGGAGTTAAGTTTGTCTCATTTTTGAATTAATAATAAATGTAGTACTTTAAAAATAATGCTATTTTTTACACTTCAATACATTATTTTCATAAAGTGGGTAAAATTGGTAATAAATTAAACATATATGTATTGAAATTAAATGAGCTTTACAGGAGGGGAGAAATAAGAGGAGGGAAAGTTTGCTACATTTTTATATATGTCAAAATATTTTATAGATATCTTAAGTGTTTCACTAATACAAATAGTTGATGCCATAACTCTAGGACCCTGAGTTTTAAATATTGTTGGATCTACTTGCTTATGATTTAAAAGCCCAAGATGCAATAGAGGCAAATAAGATGTAATTATAATTTGTGCACACTGTAAAGTAAATCACCACCTTGCTCTTTTAAAAGGAAAACCTTATTTTTGCCAAGTGGTAGCTATCTGGAGCACTGAATTGGGCCATCAGGAACTCAGTGGTTTACTATACATTACTATAACAACAATATCACAATTGCTATAAGTAACTGCAAGCAGTTTTGGGGCCAGAAGAGTGTTTGAAAGATGAACAGAGTCGAGTTTCCATTCATTAATAGGGTATGGAAAACATTGTATATTTGTCTTCTCTGTTGATGTATGAGGAGGGCTTTGATATCTGTAGATGAAACACTATAGCAATGATACAACAGTACTTTTACGGAATCCATTAAATGATTGCTTTCAAACTAATAGATAAACTAGGCTAAGATTCTCTTAAAGAATATCTGAAACACTCAAACACAAAGTTGCCTTTTCAAACCACAGTGGAATTCTGTTGAGAGTAATTTCAATAGAAATGTGGACTTGGACTTGAAGGTGGATAAGCAGGTATGGGTTTCTTTTCTAGCAGTTGATTATTTGTTGTTAGACTTCCACCATCAAAATCTGGAATTTTCTTCCAGAAATCATCATCACCATGTGTGTAGACAAATGTATGCCTGGGTGAACTATGAAGTAAACATGTTAGACAGCCAAAATAATTCACTTTCCATGTGCTTATTATTAACAAAGTAAACTTTTTTCTAGGCCATCTAACACCTTTCTATGGTTGCTAGTCTTTAAACATGAAGCAAGGAAATACTGGGTGGGGCAAAAATAGCGTTACATTTATAGAGTATGCAAAACATTTTATTCTTGGATTATTATTTATTAATTATTGTATTATTTCCCATCTGAGCAGCTGTAAACCTACTTTTGCCCCACCCTATTTGTGATACATAGAACTACTTGCTTCAGAGCCCATTAATCATTAAAAACAGATGACAATTGTGGTGATTCCTCTTGCAGATAAATTTGTGTGTGTGTGTGTGTGTGTGTAGGGAGGGGGGTTAGGGGCCAGCTTAGAAGGGAATGTTCTGCATGTCTTTGTTGATTTAGGGCAAATCTGTGATTTTGAATATCAGTACACTTTTGGCATAATATATTTTTCCCAATGCTCCAGGCATTTTCACTTCTATTGACCATCTCAGCTAATGCAGTGCACATGCCCTTCTTTGAGTTCGCTGGAGCATTATGCCACCTGTACATTATCTTCCCATTTCAATACTTATCTGCTTCTTATTCATTGTTTTTATCCCATCGTTTTTACTACAGAAAGACTTTCTCTAGAATGGTTGAAAAATGGGAATCACCTTCTCACCTGAGGAAAAAATATTTCTGCTTTCCAGCTAGAAATTTTGGACATTTTAAATACATGCCAAAATTGTTTCCAAAATGCACTTTGAAAGAAAGAAGCCACTTTCTGACTATATTATGGTTTATACCTAATGCTAACTTATTTGAAAACATACATTTAAATTAATATCACTCAAGCACTAATGGCAAAATTAAGGAATTAAATTTGTTGGTGCTTGTTGTTACAAGTAATATCTGGATCTTAAGTTGTCTCTGCTTGAATGGTTAGGTTCCTATCCCCTTCCAGATTAACAAAAAGGTGGGGGGTTATTAATAGCCCTCAGTCTGCAGGGTTTAAGCACTCAGTTCTCTAGTCTCTATGGAGATAATAGTATGTGAAATTAAATGCTGGTTAGCAAGATAGAAACTCAACATTATAAATTGTACTCAGAGCTTTTTAAGTATGAAAAAAAAGTAATCAGAGATGTAATCCAATGTTTTCTTGTCTTTCTTAGACCTTTACAACCTCACCTTTAGCCTATCTCTATTCCCAACAGCCAGTCTCCAGTGGCCCAACTCCTACGTTCCAGGTGAAACATGCTTTGTTTCTCAGCATTCTGGATCTTGAGAATCTGGGTGCAATGTGTTTGTGTGTTTTTTTATAGACAAAAAGTCTTTTGAGTGAAAATATTTTGCTCCATGTATTTTATAAGTTGAAATGACTTATTCTAGAAGTTACCTTTTCAGGCATATTGAACCGAAGGGAAAAGAAGGAAAAAGAAAAAAAACTAACTATCAGACAGGGTGACTGTTTCTATCTCACAGGTTGGAAGAACCGATGGCTTACCAGAGGCATGATCACTGAGGCATGTTTCTGAGAGAGGCACACTGTTGATCTGATCATAGAAAATCTGGAGAAAGAATGGATGTGATTTGAATCATGTCATTGTTAAGTGGCACATAGCAGAGAAAAACCGAAGCAATTCCCCTGTCTATCAATGAGGACTGTTTAGTCAAAATTGCCAATGAAATAAAACAGAGAATTCATGCACACACTCCAACAGGAGTCTAGTGCTTTTGCTATCCAGTAGAAAATCACTGGAATTAGTCAAATACTGGCTCTGTCTCCAACTGGCTGCATGAATGTGGGTTGTCACTTTCTAAGTATTAGTTTTCTCATCTGTAAAAGAATACTATTTGTTTGATGATCATGAAAAGCCCTTCTAGTTTTTAGACTCAGAAATTCTATAAAATCTACATGCTGCAGACTCTGTAGGGTTGATTCAATTTGCGATGTCACTACAGAATTACTTGACGCTGGTTTGCTTCTCCCAAGGCTAGTGGTTTGTAAATATCATTGAGCTGCCTGAGATGCTGGAGAAACAATATTAATCTTTTTGTAAATTTTCATAAATTTGTCAACTTGTTTTCCTTTGTACAACTAGGCAATGATAAGTATTGACTGAGTAATATTTCACTTTAGCTGCATATGTTGTATAAGGCCCTATATATGTGGGTCATAAAATATTTGCTGTACTTTATAGATGTTGAAATGCTGCCATTTAGTTACAAGAACAATATTTCACTTTAACTACATATGTTGTATAAGGCCTTGTATATGTGGGTCAGAAAATATTTGCTGCACTTTGATAGATGTTGAAATGCTGCCATTTAGTTACAAGAAACAAATGGGTGTTTAGGTAGTTAGCCACCCACTTTACTAGTCATTCCATAGAATAGTTTTAAGAAATATTTTAATTTATTTTTAGAGACAGAGGGAGAAACATTGATGTGAGAGTAAAGCCTCCATCAGCTGCCTCCTGAATGTCCCCTCCTGGGATTAAACCTACAACCGGGGCATGTGTCTTGACCTGGAATCAAACCATCACCTCCTGGTTCATGGGTTGATGCTCAACTACTGAGCCACACTGGCTGGGCAAGAACAACTTTTTTTTTTTTAAATAGCAAATGATAAGACACAGATCTTGATAAGTAAACACAACAAATTCAAATTGCAATAACTACATACATCAATTGCTGTCTTTCTCCATTTAGCCTTGAATGGGAGCATCCTCTTGATGCTCTCTGTCTGCTCTCACTGAGGGGATTTACGCTACATGCCTCACCAGGGTCAAGAGATACTACTTCTCTGGTTTCCCCCAAACAGCTCCTTTTTCTGATTTCCGCCGTCCCTTAATCTCTGTAGTCATCCTTACTGTCTTATTCTTCCTCACGACCCCTATTCAATTATTCACCAGATCTTGTTTCCTCTTTTATACATCTGTTCCAGCCATGCCTTCTTTCCTGCTCCTACTGGCACTGCCTTGGTTCAAGTTCTTATCACTGTATGACTGGAATACTGCTCTAATCTTCCCATGGTTATCTGTTATGAGCTTCTCCTCTGAGCATCTGTTCTGCATCCTACTGCCGGACCCATTGTCCTAAAATGCTTTAATCATGGCACATGTCACTTCC